AAACACTCTTTCTTAAACCGATTTCGAGTGATTTATATCAGCAGACAAATAATTAACAAAGATATTATACTTCAGCCAACGTTATTTCTTTTATTATTTTCAAACTTCTCCAAAAATTTTCCAAAAGATTCCTGGAGAATCTTTTGGAAAATTTTTGGAGAAGTTTGAAAACATTGGCTGAAGTATAATATCTTTGTTAATTATTTGTCTGCTGATATAAATCACTCGAAATCGGTTTAAGAAAGAGTGTTTATTTTACTCGTTTATCTTATCTAAAGATAATCTTTTATTTTTAGAAATTATATTTTTAGAAATTTCTCCAATCCCATTGTTTTATATTTTTTATTGATCAACAGAAATATAACAGTGTCTCGATACTCAAACAATTTGGTATTCAAACACATTCTGGAAAAAAGTTGTTTGATACTCGATTGAATAAACACAACCTGCTAGAACAAATTTTTGATTAATAACATAGCTTTGTTTCATGATCTACAAAATTTTTATGATAAAATAAAAAATATGAAAACATTGCTGATACTTCTGATCGAAAATCAACAAAAAACACTGAGATGATGATGATATTTAAAAAAATTCCCTCATTTAACAAAAATTAATATTAACACATAACTTTTAATTGTGATTGTTAATTAATTATTGATCAAAAATAAATTATTGATTGCTTTAATAAACATATTTCTCTTAGTCAATGTATAATATTGTTTTTTGTTACTAACTTCGGAAACATAACATATTTTGCATTAGTCCTTTTTTTGTATAGCATGGATTTGCATAACATGGCACTTTTTCAGAATGTAGCTACTGTGTTATACCAGGGATACCTGTATTTACATTTCCACTTTATAATTCAAATTAGTTGCATAATGCAAGCCTATACAATAACTATTAATTTTAACAAGAAAAATTTTGAGTTTTTTAAAAAAATTATCCTCTTTTTGATAAAATGTATCCAAATAATTAACAATAATATTAAGCAGCAAGTTACAATATTTATTATTTTATAATGTAAGGTATCCCAAAAGTAACACTGGATTTAAATTTTAAAAAAGAACATATTTATTCATTAATTGTCAAACCTGTTACATCAGTTTAAAGGATATTGCAATTAAATATGGATTAGAATATCTGACAAATGCCCCACAACTCTTCTGACACACTTATATTTTTTCACAAAATTTTCAATTACATCTTGTACAACTGTGGTTCAATTTAATTGATAACTTTTTGAATTTCTACATCCAGTTCAGGAATTGTTCTTATTTTAAGGGTACAAACTTTGGACTTTACAAATCCCCAAGAAAAAAGTTGCACAGTGTCAGATTGTATGATCTTGGTGACCAATTCTGATCACTGTTGTACGAGCTGATTTGCTCATGAAATTTCTGCTGCAACAACTCTTTTGTTTCATATGTCGTATGATAGATGGTACTATCCTGATGGAACAATATTTCACTCAAATCCATGCTGTCCAAATGAGGTCACAAAAATTCCGATACCATCTTAGAATTAACAGTAACTGCATTTTCAGATTCATTTTCAAAGAAATATGGTCCAATCACTCTACTGGTCCAAAATCTACACCAAACTGTTGCTCATTGGACATGCAATGGTTGTTCTTTGCACAGTCATTTCATTTGGCATGTTTCTCCAACCAAAAAATAGCATATAGTTTACACACAATTGCAGCAAAACTTTCCCCATAGTTGTAATAAGTTTTGATAATCATTATGTATTCCTCTATCATGTATCACTCCATATTAATTAACTGCAATGTGTTTACTACAAGATATCACTTCAACTAGTGCTGCCAACCAAATGGGAGAAAAACAGAACAAAATTTAAATCCTGCATTAATTGGCTGGACACACTTTATAATCTTTATAACTACTTTGTGTCTTATATAATTAATAATCCCTCATATAAAAATTAAATATGATAATGTTACTCTTAGAAAACAGTAAATTTTAGGAATATAATATTAAAATAAAAAATAAATTCTGTTCTCAATTTTTAATTATTATTTTACCATATCTTACACACACACACAAAAAAAAAATATAATAAAAAATATATAATATAACTTTTTCTCAGTTTAAATATTGAAATTTCTAAGTTACTTAACATAAAAACCTTAAACAGTTGATTAAAATCTTACTTACTTAATGTAAGCATAATAATGGCCCCCATTTGCACTTCCAGAATGAACCATGATGGAAAATAATTCGTAAACATATGGGCCCTGAAAAATTAATTTAGAAAATATTTTAATCTATTCATAAAAATATTTTTATTCAATATTTTAACTCTATGTGAAATAATTTCTGTAAAATTTCACTTCTAAGGTGCGTTTTAAATTTATAAGGACACGAAAAAATTAAAGTGAAACATAAATTTGCTGCATTAAGTGACAAATGTTTTAGTAAAAATAACATAGATTTACATGTTTCCACAGTGCAAAATAAGAATTTTAATCAAACATTAACATTTTGTCACTGAAAATAATATTTTTGAAAATTTTGTACAAAAAAACTGTTACATATTTATCTGGACAGATTTCAAATTGCAAAGTTTTCTTACAATTTAATGGCCAATGTAACCACCATTTAACTTAATTACATTAAATATTCGATTAGGCATTGTTTCAATTAGATTCTGAAAAAATTCAATCTTAAGTTTATCCCAAGCATCTGAAATTGCTGCCTTCAAATCATGAATTGTGGAAAACTGCTTTCCATTGGCATAAACTGTACGAACCATCATCCCCCCAAAGATTTTCCATCGGATTCAGGTCAGGGCTTCTAGCAGGCCATGTCACCAGATTAATATTTTTACATTTAAACCACATTTTTGTTGATTTAGATGCATGCATAGGGGCATTGTCTTGTTGAAAGACCCAATTTGGTCCATAAATATTTGGTCTAGCTTCCAATAAATGATCTTCAAGCATGCCTTGATACTTCTCTGAAGTCATTCTTTGAGTTACAAATGCTAAATCTGTGGTTCCATTGAACCCAAATGCACCCAATGCCATTATTGATCCCCCACCCATTTCACATTTTGAAAATATTTGTTTTTGAGTTCTTAAATCATGCCAATAATACTTCCAACCATCTGGATCATCTAAGTTGAATTTTTTTTCATCACTGAACAAAACTTCAATTCATTCTTTGGACCGTGTCATGTGTTTTTGTGCCAAATCAAGTCTGTCACTTTTGTGCTTTAATTAATGAAAGTGGTGGCATTACAGCTTTTTTTCTGAATTTTAACATTGGAGATTTATTTAAAACTCTCCACACTGTTGTGCTGCTTATCGCAAGTCTAATTCTTGTTTTATTTTTCTTACTGATGTTTGTTTTGTGGAGCAAACCTTGATGATTTGTCTACAATCTCGAGGTGTAAGCTTTGGTTTTGGACCTGTCTTTAATTTTGGTACATCCTTGCCATGTCTTTTTGATAAATAATCACCAACAGTTGATTATGGATGATTTATATATGCTGCAATCTCTCTTATTGACTTGCCTTGTGATTTATAAGCATCAATCTGCCCTTTTTCATAATCAGATAAATTCTTTGTCCTACCCATTTTAGAACTTTGTGCAATGTAAAGAATTTGTATTACAATTAGATATGTAAGCTAATTTGCATATTTCAATGCTTGAAACTAAACAATATTCTATTTAAGTCATGAAATGAGTGTGTGTCCAGATAAATATGTAACAGTTTTTTTGTACAAAATTTTCAAAAATATTGCCACCCAATTGTTAGACTAGGTCTATGTAATAGGTGAAAAACTTTCAGCTTTATTTTATAGGATGATAACACTCACTACTAATGGCCACATGTATGGTTATTGTCACTCTTGGAGGGCTCCAACTTGTTAGGAAGCATTGAATAGTGATAAATAGATGTGCACTGCCATTGACCTTTCCTTGTTTACCTACTGCCAACAAGCATTACTGATTTTGTCATCAACACATATCACCAACAATAAAATCAGCCTTCTAAGTATAAAATGCAGATTTAGCCATTATTTATAATAAGACCACAGATCTTTCTAGGCAACTTGCACTTAGTTCAAAAGACCTTTCTTTAAACTTTTATAGCATTATATGTATTTGAAAAGTCAATGTTGTTTTATGATTTTGTTTTTAAGTTCAATTTTAAACTTTCTAGGCAAATTTAAAAAGAAACTCATCACCTAACACTGCAAAATAGGAGTAATAATTGTCTGCTTATCCATTATTTTTTTTATAGTTTATTATATTTTAAAAATATAGTATTTTTAAAATCGAATACATAAGATCTTATAGCAGGCCATGTCTATAATGTTGTTATAGCAGCAATGTGCAAACATGTTGCCAGATCTGGCATTTTGAGCTTCTTAGTCATTTGGCAATGATTTTTTTTTCAATCTAGAGTGTTTTCTATACTATTATAAATTGATTCAAAAGTCAAATAAATTAGGTCAAATTTTTTCCTAAAAACAGGACTGGAGTCAGGCCTAGACAAACTAGAATATTATGATTACCTAAGGGCCAATCCTAAGGGCCTAAAAGTGCCTGTAAATCAAATTTTAAACTTTAATTTCCTTATATTTGAATTTAAATGGTTAGTGAACAAAATGAATAATTATTCTCTACACCAAAGGGCTTTCAAGCTTTCTTTTATTACCAACACATGTAAAGTAAGACTAGTAGCAAGTATTGAGTCTGTTTGAAAATGTATTGAGTTTGGATCATACTGACAGAATTCAGTATATCATTTCTAGTAGTTACTGTTATACATATATAGAAAAATTCATGGTAATAAGTGAAGTCAAAATCATATAAATATTAGCAATTACTGTTGGTTATTTATCGTTTCATAAAAGTCTGATTCAAAATACTCTAGTTACCCCAAATCATTCTAATATTAATCCTTCTCATAAGGATTATAGATTGTGCAAAGTATCCTCATTTATAAAGAAAAATGTTTTAAACATTTGGTATCATTGTTTTCTGTTCCTATATTTTGTGTTTTATTCCATTTTAACTAAATTTGAAAAGTGATAAATTGTCTCAGATTTTTATTAATTAAATTTTTAAAATATTAAAAACTTTGCTGAATACTTAAAAATAATTAAAATAAATTTACTAAGAGTTAAAATTTATATTTTATTTCATACACAATGAAAAATTTCCTATTATACAAAAAGTAAAAACGAACCTTTTCCATTGATTTACGAAGATTACGTTCATTTGCTGATACTTCACTATTGCTAATCATGGATTGTCCATTTGAAGCTAAATCAATTCCTTCATCTTCATCAACAACTTCGTCACTAATTCCTTCTGACGAAAGTGAAGATCCTACTTTTAAACTTCCTTGATAACAAGCATTATCATCATCTAAAGCTGATCCACTATCAGTTGTATCACCATCATCAATCTCCTAAAAATAATCATCAGTTAATTCACGATATATATTAAAATACTTCGTTTTAAACATCATTCAAAACTTACCTCACATTCAGGTTTTAAAAATTCATTTAAATTCAATATTTCAGGAAATGTTACCCTAAAAATTCATTTTAATTTATCAATTATTGCTATGAATTTTTTCTAATCTTGTTTATATGTTTACAAAACACGATATATATAAAGTTCCCCTGTTATGAATCATGTTAATTCTCATTTAATTCGTAAATACATATATCATTCATAAACAAGAAAGNAAGCAGTTGAAACTGCATTTTTATGAATAAAAATTTGACAAACTATTTATCGTTTTATGACGAGTAAAATTTTTTTGTTGCATTCTCGGCTTTTAAGTAATGCATAAACCTTCAAGATGCGAGGCCCTTCGGACTGCGAGGCATAGGTGGTGGCCCACGTTGCCCATGCCTTACGCTGCCCTTGGTTATAGAAATGATGTAATTTGAGTATAAATTATTTATAAATATGTATGTCAAGTTATATTTTTATTACAACGCAAAATATATTTAAGAGTTTACGACCACTGTGCCGGGTGAGACGTTGTTGAAACAAAAAATGTTATGCATTCCATCACGTACATAAACAGTGTTGTAATTCGCCAAGTGCAAATCAGCAAATTCGTAAAATTTTTATTTTGAACAATCTGGATAATCGAGGTTCTACTGTACTTCCACAACATGGTTTTTGTGAGATTCTGAACACACCCCTTTATTAATCGAAAATTCATGTCAAATCCATAAATGTTAGAAATAATATTTTTGATTTTAATAGAAAAATTTAAAGCTAAAAACAAAGGAAACTGGTAAAATTCACTTTCTTCTCAACAGAAGTTCTACATCCTTTTTGTTTTCCCTTATCTTCATAAATTTTGAGTCACATACAGTCCAGTTACCCCTCTGTAAACTCCCACTCTTCCTAAACACATGGGAATAATACAATTTTCTCATTGGAGAAAAACATCAAAAAAGGGGATTTTTTAGTATTATTCAGGGAGTACGCCACGAAATTCCATAGGAGAAGGACGTATTCCATATCATCTCCCCACGGCCAATGCCCATAACCGACTCCTGAAGTTCATACAAAGTTTATTTCTAAGTTTCTAAGTAGAAGAAAATGTTTATTGAAGTGCTGCCAAAGAATTAACCAAAGATAAGAAGATCTTTGGTTAATTCTTCCCATCGATCTGAAAGTAAGAAGAATATAGAATAATATATTTTGAGGTAGTATGATTTTAATTGAAAATGTGATCTCTCTCTCCGTGATAGTATAATTAGATATATTGAAGGTCGAATGTGTATATTTTTTTCCTTTGTTTATTAAATACTCATTTTTTTTATGTTAAAGAAATGTCTCATAATGTCTAAATCAAAAGTTTTCATCTCCATATTGATTCGTAAACGCGTGTTAATCCGTGTGAAATAAAATTGATTAACTGGTGTCTAGGATCATGACGTCAGACAGAGACTTCACAGTCTATCCTTAAAAGCCCTCCTTAAAAGTTTAGAGATCGAATCTAACAATTTGTGCTGATTAAGTGGTGCTTCAAGTTGTACCCCCAGCTAATCTCAATTTTGCTCTAACACGGTTTGAAAATTGGGAATATCCCCCAAACAACACAACTTCAAATTTTGCTCTAACATGGTTTTAGGAATCTTCTGTACAAAATTTCACAATTTTTAAGTGTAAACTTCATTATCTATCTTTTATTATTATTCAAGTAAGCATGCATGTTGTCTCAAATTTGTCCACTGATTTTAAAATATTGAAATTTTCAAAATTTTGTGCTTTTCATCAAGTTTACTTTAATGAAAACTGATAGGACAATTTTTTTCTTTCTTGTCCTAGCTCTTGTATCAACCAGGTGTTGTCGTTATATTCAGATTTTAGCCTTTAAGACCCATTGTGTTTCATTTTTGTAGATCGATCTTCATATTTAGTAAAGTTTATTTAAACATTTTTAGATATGTGCTATTAAACTTTTTTAAATGTAGATAAGCAATCATTCGTAAAATGACAAACGAAATATAACAGAAAAAAAAGAGATTATCTTTAGATAAGATAAACGAGTAAAATAAACACTCTTTCTTAAACTGATTTCGAGTGATTTATATCAGCAGACAAATAATTAACAAAGATATTATACTTCAGCCAACGTTATTTCTTTTATTATTTTCAAACTTCTCCAAAAATTTTCCAAAAGATTCCTGGAATCTTTATCTTATCTAAAGATAATCTTTTATTTTTAGAAATATATACGAAGAACTGCTGCAATACAGCATGGCTATGTGAGGAAAAGAATAGAGACTCTCATTAAGAAATATAATAATCTTGCAAGTAGGCAAAAGCAAAACCACCAAAAAAAAAAAGTGGTCCTCGATTATATACCCTTCCTTAAACCGATTGTCAAGAGGGTTTCCAAAAATAAGAACTTACAAATAGTTTATTGACGTAATCCCACTATATACAAGATATTAAGGAATGACAAGGGGGATTATGATCGTAACTCCTTAACAGGAATATACTTAATACCGCTAAGAGATCATAGGTTCAACTCTAACTTAGTATATATATGTACAACTTTGAGGAATTTGAAAAAAAGAATCAATGAACATAAGCTTTCAGTGAACAAAACAGTTGACAGTATGGTCCTTGCCACTTATGCTAAACAACAAGGCATTACTGTCCTCTGGGACCAGGCCTCTATAATAAAAGCTACCAGATCTAGACACGTGGTAAAATATCTCGAAAAGCTGGAAATCCATAGGGCACAGAAGAGCACGCAGTGTATCAACTATAGGGATGCTGACGGGCTTTCGTCCGCTTGGAAATCTTTTTGTGACGAATTGGCATAGATCTATATAAAAGGCTTAATCAGGCTTATGATCCTTGATAGATATTTTATTTATTTATTTTTATTATTATTTATTAAACACACAGAAATTCATATGTATCACTTTCGTTTATAACATGTTACCTTTTAATTTTTTGCATAACCGTTTATTTGATATTCGCTTGCGTAATTTTTCGAATTTCCCGTTTTCGAATTAGAGAAATAACTGATGATGAACGCTTAATGCATTTGAAAACGTTTTTTATGTTATTAAAGAATTATGCTGGATAGTCGAATGGTTTTTATTTTTATTGGGATCTTTAATTTTGTCACACATTTCAATGTCACACTGTAAACAGTAAATGATCATTGTGGCTCACTGTTAGCATCAGACTGACGTGAAAACATGGGAAGGTTCATGACGCAGCAGTTTAGGGTGGTGGGAGAACTGAACATTCTTTTCTTTTAGAATGACCTTCGTATTAGATATGCAGAATGAGATTTAATTTGTGAACATCAAATATTAGATGAAAAATTCATGATTGACTTTGCAAGAAATCTTGATTGGAATAAAATAGCTGAATATGAAATTCTTTTGGATAAATTCGTTAAAAACTATGTACATAAATTAGATATGCGAAAAGTTTCAAAATACCAGTGATTAAAAACTGAAACTTTATGAGAGATTAAAGATTATCTACAATGGGAGTTAGTTTTACATTACCAAATACCAGATGAAAAGTTTATAGAAGACTTCAAGAATCATCTTTTTTGATGTCATATTATAAAAAATCAAAAACTAGATTGATGATTTATTGTTGATAATTCACAAAGTAACTCACAAAGTAATTCACAAAATACCAAATATTAGTAAGTACATGGAGTAATACTCTTGATAAAATGATTGAAATATCAGAAAAACTAAAACAAAAAAGTTAATACAAATGAATTATTTATGTATTTTTATTTCTAAATGAAAAAGTTTTGTATTTTTTATAAAATATACCTGAAAGTGTATCAAATCTAAACTACTTATGTTCAAATTATCCATATTTATTGGACTGCAATTTGAAAAAATTGTAGACCTAAAAATTCCCACTGTTGTCCATCCATCTGTCTTTCCTTAATCTTGAGAGTGGAGTTAGATAGATGAAAGATGAGACCAGATATGGAAACCTTAGGGCTAAGAGGCCTCAATTAACTATATACATCCAATGAAAACTGGAAGTCTTGATATTTCAATGTAAAAAATTTTTCCTGAAAGGTGTTAGAAATTTTTAAAATATTTAAAATAATTCAAATTAATGAGATTTGACTATACTTATAATTCATAGGCAGTTTTAATTTTGAAATATTTTAGATTCAAAATAATTTTAAATACTTTACCCTTTTAAATGAGAAATTTTATCATTTTTAATTTTATATTCAATTTTTAAATAATTTTTAAAATTAAAAATATAATGTTATACATTTTTCAGACATATAAAGATCGAAAAAATCTTGAATATACCTGCCATACAGCCTTTTTTGCATCAATAGTTATTGTACAGTGGGCTGATTTAATAATCTGTAAAACAAGGCGTAATTCCATATTTCATCAGGGAATGAAGTAAGTATTTATAGAATATTTATGAATTCAAATGTTTAAGTATTGAAAGTATTAAATTATAAATGAAGAAATGAATATGTATAGCATAAAATTGACTATATAATTCTTATTATATTGATTAGATAAAGAAGTAAAATATAAAAATAATAATAACTAATATCTGAAAAGTGATCACAATTTACTAATTTGTTTATAAACTTAAATTTAAAATATAAATATGCTTTATTGTATAAAAATATTTAACATTAAATATTAAAATTATGAGTTTTGTTTAAAAAAGTATATATACAAGACGGTGAAAAGTTTGTGACCAGATATCCATGAAAGAAAATACTGTATTTTTTCAATAAAAACATGTTTAGTACAAAAATTTTTACTAATACAAAATAATNTGTTTCCACACTGCAAAATAAGAATTTTAATCAAACATTAACATTTTGTCACTGAAAATAATATTTTTGAAAATTTTGTACAAAAAAACTGTTACATATTTATCTGGACAGATTTCAAATTGCAAAGTTTTCTTACAATTTAATGGCCAATGTAACCACCATTTAACTTAATTACATTAAATATTCGATTAGGCATTGTTTCAATTAGATTCTGAAAAAATTCAATCTTAAGTTTATCCCAAGCATCTGAAATTGCTGCCTTCAAATCATGAATTGTGGAAAACTGCTTTCCATTGGCATAAACTGTACGAACCATCATCCCCCAAAGATTTTCCATCGGATTCAGGTCAGGGCTTCTAGCAGGCCATGTCACCAGATTAATATTTTTACATTTAAACCACATTTTTGTTGATTTAGATGCATGCATAGGGGCATTGTCTTGTTGAAAGACCCAATTTGGTCCATAAATATTTGGTCTAGCTTCCAATAAATGATCTTCAAGCATGCCTTGATACTTCTCTGAAGTCATTCTTTGAGTTACAAATGCTAAATCTGTGGTTCCATTGAACCCAAATGCACCCAATGCCATTATTGATCCCCCACCCATTTCACATTTTGAAAATATTTGTTTTTGAGTTCTTAAATCATGCCAATAATACTTCCAACCATCTGGATCATCTAAGTTGAATTTTTTTTCATCACTGAACAAAACTTCAATTCATTCTTTGGACCATGTCATGTGTTTTTGTGCCAAATCAAGTCTGTCACTTTTGTGCTTTAATTAATGAAAGTGGTGGCATTACAGCTTTTTTTCTGAATTTTAACATTGGAGATTTATTTAAAACTCTCCACACTGTTGTGCTGCTTATCGCAAGTCTAATTCTTGTTTTATTTTTCTTACTGATGTTTGTTTTGTGGAGCAAACCTTGATGATTTGTCTACAATCTCGAGGTGTAAGCTTTGGTTTTGGACCTGTCTTTAATTTTGGTACATCCTTGCCATGTCTTTTTGATAAATAATCACCAACAGTTGATTATGGATGATTTATATATGCTGCAATCTCTCTTATTGACTTGCCTTGTGATTTATAAGCATCAATCTGCCCTTTTTCATAATCAGATAAATTCTTTGTCCTACCCATTTTAGAACTTTGTGCAATGTAAAGAATTTGTATTACAATTAGATATGTAAGCTAATTTGCATATTTCAATGCTTGAAACTAAACAATATTCTATTTAAGTCATGAAATGAGTGTGTGTCCAGATAAATATGTAACAGTTTTTTTGTACAAAATTTTCAAAAATATTGCCACCCAATTGTTAGACTAGGTCTATGTAATAGGTGAAAAACTTTCAGCTTTATTTTATAGGATGATAACACTCACTACTAATGGCCACATGTATGGTTATTGTCACTCTTGGAGGGCTCCAACTTGTTAGGAAGCATTGAATAGTGATAAATAGATGTGCACTGCCATTGACCTTTCCTTGTTTACCTACTGCCAACAAGCATTACTGATTTTGTCATCAACACATATCACCAACAATAAAATCAGCCTTCTAAGTATAAAATGCAGATTTAGCCATTATTTATAATAAGACCACAGATCTTTCTAGGCAACTTGCACTTAGTTCAAAAGACCTTTCTTTAAACTTTTATAGCATTATATGTATTTGAAAAGTCAATGTTGTTTTATGATTTTGTTTTTAAGTTCAATTTTAAACTTTCTAGGCAAATTTAAAAAGAAACTCATCACCTAACACTGCAAAATAGGAGTAATAATTGTCTGCTTATCCATTATTTTTTTTATAGTTTATTATATTTTAAAAATATAGTATTTTTAAAATCGAATACATAAGATCTTATAGCAGGCCATGTCTATAATGTTGTTATAGCAGCAATGTGCAAACATGTTGCCAGATCTGGCATTTTGAGCTTCTTAGTCATTTGGCAATGATTTTTTTTTCAATCTAGAGTGTTTTCTATACTATTATAAATTGATTCAAAAGTCAAATAAATTAGGTCAAATTTTTTCCTAAAAACAGGACTGGAGTCAGGCCTAGACAAACTAGAATATTATGATTACCTAAGGGCCAATCCTAAGGGCCTAAAAGTGCCTGTAAATCAAATTTTAAACTTTAATTTCCTTATATTTGAATTTAAATGGTTAGTGAACAAAATGAATAATTATTCTCTACACCAAAGGGCTTTCAAGCTTTCTTTTATTACCAACACATGTAAAGTAAGACTAGTAGCAAGTATTGAGTCTGTTTGAAAATGTATTGAGTTTGGATCATACTGACAGAATTCAGTATATCATTTCTAGTAGTTACTGTTATACATATATAGAAAAATTCATGGTAATAAGTGAAGTCAAAATCATATAAATATTAGCAATTACTGTTGGTTATTTATCGTTTCATAAAAGTCTGATTCAAAATACTCTAGTTACCCCAAATCATTCTAATATTAATCCTTCTCATAAGGATTATAGATTGTGCAAAGTATCCTCATTTATAAAGAAAAATGTTTTAAACATTTGGTATCATTGTTTTCTGTTCCTATATTTTGTGTTTTATTCCATTTTAACTAAATTTGAAAAGTGATAAATTGTCTCAGATTTTTATTAATTAAATTTTTAAAATATTAAAAACTTTGCTGAATACTTAAAAATAATTAAAATAAATTTACTAAGAGTTAAAATTTATATTTTATTTCATACACAATGAAAAATTTCCTATTATACAAAAAGTAAAAACGAACCTTTTCCATTGATTTACGAAGATTACGTTCATTTGCTGATACTTCACTATTGCTAATCATGGATTGTCCATTTGAAGCTAAATCAATTCCTTCATCTTCATCAACAACTTCGTCACTAATTCCTTCTGACGAAAGTGAAGATCCTACTTTTAAACTTCCTTGATAACAAGCATTATCATCATCTAAAGCTGATCCACTATCAGTTGTATCACCATCATCAATCTCCTAAAAATAATCATCAGTTAATTCACGATATATATTAAAATACTTCGTTTTAAACATCATTCAAAACTTACCTCACATTCAGGTTTTAAAAATTCATTTAAATTCAATATTTCAGGAAATGTTACCCTAAAAATTCATTTTAATTTATTTATAATGAATATAAATAATTAAATAAATATATTTACATATTAATTTACAAATACAAATATATATTAATATTATATTTTTAAAGAAATAAGATGTCACAACTAGTAAACAAGATAAATGAAAATTAAAGATTCTTGGTAATAAAGAGTAAAGTTTTTACAAGAAAAATGAACATTTTTAGCTTCATTAAACATTCATCATCAGATTACATTTCACTAAATAATTTCAAGATTTTAAATTATCTTTATGTAAAACTGAACCATGTTTCAAATTTTAAAAATACATTCTATAACAAAATCAAACAAACAAGGTACATGATGCAAAAATATTATGGAACATACACAAATAATAATCCAATTAATAATAAAATAGTACTAACATTAATAAAATAATATAAATAGATATGTCAATAAAAATAAACAAATATCTGAGTTGCAAACCAAATATATTTAAAACATTAACTTTTTCCAGACAAATTTCTGTAAGTCAAAGATCATAAGATCAGGCTTTTACACTTTATTAAAAACTTTTTCCATAGTGACATAAATTTATTATTATTGATAAAAGAATCATTCACAAAGTATATTTTAACAAGAAATGTATTTTCTTTAAATATTTTACATTTTCTAAAATTTATTCATAAAAATTTTTCTAAAAAATGTATTTTATTCATTCAATGTATTTACATTATCTATTTACAAAAAACAAATAAAACTCACATTTAAAAACTTTGCATTTCCCCCATCATTAACTCTCTTTTCTCCTCTTTCTACAAAAAAAATTGGGTAATTTATCATTACCGTAGGGACAAAATCCAGTTTCTCTGTATTAAAGGGGATTTATGGTTTTAAGATGAAACTAACCAAACCAAACTTTGACCTGTATTTCTTCAACTTTGATCTGAATTATTAATTTTTATATATTTAAAAACATTGTTGTGTCCAATAGTGATAATATATTTCATTTCTTTCCATTTTTAAAATACAAAAAATAGATTTATTTATATCAGTCAATGAAATAGTATCATTATATTCAAGTTGCTAACTATATACTAAGAACTAATTCTGTAAGTCATAATATTTGGGGGAAAACAATTTCTTGCTTTAGAGTACCTAACTTTATATCTCACATATAATGCAATTGTTTTCATTATAATAAATATAACAAGTAAAACAGCAAAGCCATATTTGAAACAAGACTGTCTCGAAGATTCACTACTAAGCGAAATCACTTTGATGCTCAAGTGGGTCTCGTTCTCATTCTCCAATCTTCTTCGGTATCGCTGGTTTTGAGCGCAATTGTTCAGACTTCGCCAGCCATGTCCATGAACTCATCCATGATGCATTTTCGGTGAAATTAACCTATCTATGATGAAATTTCTTTCCGTTGCGTGTCGGCCCGGGTTGAATTTTTGTCAATGCGTAACGAAAATTTCCTGTTTTTGAAAAAAATAATCGTGGCTATTATATTGTCTGAAATTATTTTTTTATTTTGCACAAACAATATACAGTTTAACCTGATTATGTCGTCATTGGATGTAACGACAACCCTAGTATAACGTCTTTAGCAGCGTGGCTAAAATCTGTACATGGCACTTCCTACCTTGTCCATGAAGTCCACGTCTTTTGTTCTACTGGTAAAAATTGAGAAATGACCCAGGCAAATAATTTACTTAATTTGGATCAGCTACGCAATATTTACAATAGTGTCGAGATATAATACAAATCCAAGATCAGCATGGCTGTCGACTCAAAAGGTTAATTAATGTGAAACAAAAAGATGTCTCTCCTACCTTGTTCGTGATGTCCACATTGACCTCGACCATATGTTCTGCATCTTTCGTTCTGTCAGTAAAAATTAACTGAGAAACTGATAATTTTTTATTTAATTTGTATAGGCTATGCAATATTTACAATAGTTTTTTTTTTTTTGATTCCGATGAAACTGTGTTTTAATTTAATTTGCTTTTTTCAGACACAATAATGTGACTTCTTTTAAATACTTGGCAGATTATCCATCACTTTATTTAGTTGGAGTTATTTAGTTAGTTTACCAACTAAATAAAGTGATGTATAATCTGCCAAGTGTTTAAAAGAAGTCACGTTATTGTGTCTGAATAAAGAAAATTTACAATAGTGTCGAGATATTATATAAATCCAAGATAGGCATGGCTGTTAAATCGAAAGGTTAACTAAATGAAGTAAAAAGATGTCTCTCCTCGTTAGATTTTATGAGCAAAGTGAGGTCAAAGGGAGAAGGTCATGCGGTGATGCCCTCTGCCATACACGTCAAATTTTTATTGTTCCCACGATTTTACTATACTAGATAATGTTAAAAAAACCTACTTGTAAAAACATAAAACCGTTTTAACATCATATTTGAAGCAATCCCAAATTTACAAAATTAGATTACAAATTTTATTTAACATAGAAGAAACTGTGTGTTCAGTCCTAAGATGAGAGTTCACTTCTTAAAATGACTTTAAGTTAGAACACCTAACCCCATCCACAGGTAGGAACTCCCCTACCTGACTTCAATGGGGTGAAGTGGCTGTTTTGCCTGTTTGTAGAAGAGGGTTGCCATTCTTTTTTATTTTATTTTGACCTGGTTCTCAGTCCCCTGACTACATACAAGTCTGGATTTTTTTATGCGCAAATGATTTGGGCACCTAATACTATGTGCCAAATATCAACTCTCAACATGTACTCTTTCATACCTCTAAGCTGGTAATATTGACGGGCAGTACGATTTTATAAACAAGACATAGTCTTGTCAAAAAAGAGATTAAAAAACTAATATAGACTGAGTATCATCTTTAATAATGCTATTTAATATCAATAAGTTTAACTATTCTGAATAAAATGTTACATCAACTTATCCATAAACCCCTAACCAATACGAAAAATTCTTTCAAAAATATGTGGAAAAAAAATATAAAAAAAAGTTTATTGGTCATTATAAAGAATAAATCAGATACCAAATTATTATAATTTGGTATCTGATTATTTAAAATAATCATTATTATTTTTAAATTATAATTTAAAAATTATTTAAAATAATTGGTATCTGATTTATTCTTTTAAGTTAACCTGTCATTTAAGATGATCTTAAATAATGAATCATAATTTGGATAATTTGGCACACATCATCAATCTGATGTATCGAACTGCTAATGATAATACATAATAGATGATTTATTGCAGGAACAAGTAAAGAAAAAACATTTAAATGTGAAGCAATCAAGTAGGTCTGCCTCAAAAAATCCATCAAGATATCTTGACCTTGGTAGGTTTGATTGAAGTCAAGAATTCTTGACCATGACATGGAAAAAGTTAAGTGATAAAACTTAAAAAAAAAAAGCTGAGGTCATAGGCTAATCATGGGTCATCCAAAATGTATCATTCATAATTATTTTTCATGAACTTCCTTTACCTCATTCAACTCTACTCCAAGACTTTTAGAAGAACATCCACTGCAAGACTGACATGAATTTCTGAGAGTACTGACAACTTCAAAAATGTCAATCTGATTGTTATGTAATTCAACAAAATGTTACTTTCTCAGGAAAATAAGATGTTATTGACAAAAGGCACTGGAATCTATTTGGATCCAAACATTGAGAGATGATTTAAGTGAAACTATATGTGTAGGTTATATGGCCAGATTATTGACAAACAGAATAAGAGCAACAACACACCATAGTGAAGACTCTTTTCTATAATATTAGTTGATTTTACAGTGTAGAAGGAAAACAAAATCCTGTAGGATAAGCATAATGAAACCCTAAAAAAATAAGACAAAATTTTAAGAAGTATCTGGAATCCAAAAGAAAATTGCACCAATTAACAAAATGTCGACTTTATTCATGCACAACATACACTATACTATTGTAACACTAAACTTTTGTCAAAAATTTTTGAAATTATGCAAGGAAGATTGTAGATTAGGAGCATTGATGCTATTAAATTTTGGTGGTTAAGGTTAAGGTGAAAGATACAGGAGAGTCATGTGTGATATCCTGACTAGGGTTGGACTTAATAAAAATTTTACTTGTTATTAGCATTTATAAAATTCATCTCTATCTTCAAAATAAAGCTTTTTGTCATTTTATAATAATTAATAATATAAAAAGATTTTTAATAAAATATCACAACAAATGATGCCACTAATTTAAAATTTTTTTAACAGGAAAGTTACACAATTCATTGCTGAATTTTTATAATTGCTTTAACCCTTTATGGCCTGACGGGACTTTCTAGTCCCACTATCTTTGATATTTTTTATTTCATAGTGTATGCATTATAGCTTTCTGGGACTTACATTTTATCATTGTATAAAGTGTTCTTTTTTCTTCTATAGGGTAGTAACTTTCAAACTGTTCCTGTTTTAGTTTTGTTGAAAAAGTTTCACATCGTGTGTTGCCTGAATGGTAGTAGCTGATACTATATGGTAGTAGCTTTCTTTGTTGCCAAATTCTACTTAATGTTTTCAAGTTAAATGTCTTTGTATTTTTTAATATGTATTCTAGATATGTGTAGTTTGATTTTAATGTATTATGTTTGTAGAATTAATGGTTTGCAAGCTGTATGAAGTCAAAATATGTTTGGGACTTATAAGTCCCGTCAGGCCTGAGGGAATCTTTTTTGTAAATGTTAGAAATTTGTATTTTCTACATTGTGCTTTATAAATTTATGAATTTGTTTAACATTTTTATAGTTAATATACATATAAGACTTATATATATATAAATAGATAATTTTATATAAAAAAAAATTTCATTTGATATTGATACACATCAAAGCCATATACAAAATGCACATTACGTAAAGTTTTCTTGTGTGTAAATGGGAAAAAAATAGCTTTTTACATCTTTACTAATCATAAATTATTAAACCAATAAATTATATTTTAGTTTTGTCATGCATTTTAATTTTTTTTTCATATTTTGACCTTATTATACAGTAAAAGTTAACAAATACTTAATATATATAATTATGCATTTAATTTGCAAATATCTATGATAAAAGATCTTTATATAAAACAAAGTTATTTTATTTTCGAAATATTAAACAAGAAAAAACTTGTTAAGTCCAAATGTGCTCTAAAAGCCTGACGGGACTTTAAAGTCCCATAATTAAAAAATTTTTAATTTACATTTTAATTTTTTTTTATTTACTTATCTGTGAACAAACATCTCTTCTGATGATATAATAAGAAGAAAAAAAATTTTTTATCAAAAAATGAAAATTCGGGCTATAAAGGGTTAAGCAAAATATATGTACATTTGTATATACGTTTAAGTTTTTGTATTATATACTTCATTTGTATGATTTTGTTATGCTTAAAATTTATAATATATAATTATTCTCAACTTGACGTTGTAGAATATTGAAATTCTTCATATTAACCCAACTGTGATTGCTTAAAGGAACTGAAAATGTTCATTTTTTTTCTTATAAAAGCTGTTGGTAATAAAAGGTACAATTTTTATTTAAAGAAATAAAAATATATTCCTGTAAAAATAAAAACTTAACAATAAGTAATAATTAATCAGTCAGTTTTTACCTGTCATTCAACTTAATTCGATGCATAGTCACTGGATCAAAATCAAATCTTTTTAATTGAAGAGTAAGAAGATAAGGAAATCTTATGAATTTTAATCCCTTGTGTGCATCACATTTTTTATTACACTGTTCACAAAAATACTGGTTTGATCCTTCTAAAGTTTCAGGTGTTACAAATGCACGAAGTGCTTCTTCCTAAAAGTTTCAAAATATATAAAAATATGTTAACTTCATAAATAATTCTGTAAAACGAATTGGTAAAAAGTTACTGACCACACTCCCATATGCCTGTGTTGATCCAAATGGTCGAACTACAAGTGGTATATCTAAAAAGGTGTCTTCTCTTGCACTTTCATACCCACACTATAAAATATTTTATTCACATTTTATATTTCAACTAAAAAATTTACAAAGTTAAAATAAAAATACAATTTTACTTTAAGTATATGTCTTATTACATTAACATATAATTAAAATATATTATTGTTCTTTTTCATTCACTTCCCGTTCATATGTTTTTTAGAATATAAATTAGTTCTCTTGTTTAGGAAGCAACTAAAAATGCTTTTTAGAAAACTTTACAAAACTTTAGGACTCAAGTAAAAAGGTTTTTTAGAAAACTTTACAAAAGGAGAAATTAAACATATACAATAATTAAAATAGTAGTATAAAAAGTACTGATGAATTACTAATAGATATTAAAGGAGTTAAAAGAAAAAAAATAGTTATAGGTTATTAAGTATTATCAAAATATGTATTCAATATTAAGTTAAATATAATTTTTAAAAAATACTTGAGATAAACTAAAACTAACTGCTGAAGAATTGCTTAAATTGGCTAATACATCTAATAAAATTTGTCTTTGTGAATAATTTTTTTGAATTTGAAAAAAAAAAAAAAAAAAAAACTTTTACAAACAGACGAACAGTATAATTATGGATTCTGTCATAAGTCTGAAATTAGTTTAATTGGTAATAATTAAAACTGAAAATAATAAAATAACTGGAATAATTCTGTACAGCAGATATGTTGATGATAAATTTAAAATTTTTGGTAACAATAATAGATATGTAATCCATCTCACATCATGAAAATATACAATTTGAAGTAGAAAAAACCATTTAGACATAACCACAACAAATAATAACTTAATTAAGACAAAATATTAAAAGAAACTAAAGTTCCAGTCAAATAATAGCAAACATAAGATGTTACATTTGTTACCAATGTTCATTTTAAAAAAACAAAACTCCTCAAGATTTATAACAATAAAAAAATGTTAAAGTTAAATAACTACCAATACATACATCAAATAAATGAATTAGGAAATATATCAATAATATAAAAGTAATAAGAAAAATTAAAATAAACTACATTTCCTTATATATTAGGAGGTTTTTTTTTGGTATTTTAAAAATTTCCTTAAAAATTATGATGTAACACTATATCAGATGTATTTTTTGTTCTATATATTAAACTTTTAATTTCATATATAAAAAAAATAAAAATACAAATAACACTGTTCTGCAAAAAAAAAAAAAAATATTTCTGCTCCAGCCAAACATTTTTACTGATTTTTATAGTTTCAATGGTGCTGAATCTGAATATGGCAACAGAACTGGCCTATCACACACCACTTTTGAGAGAAATGAGGTTTTGGAAGGAAAATACTTTCTGTTCAAAATATCATATTTATATATTAATATAATCAACAAATTTAATATAATCAACAAATAAATTTGTTAATTACTTCATTTTTCATAAGAACTGAAAAATTTAATGGCATGTTTTCTTCCTTTTATATTCTTCTTCTGAAGTCTCTTGCTGTAAAGTCCAGTAGTAATCTGCTAACATTTTCTTATTCCACCTTCCACTACACTACTTTTTCATTTGAGAAAGAGTCTGATAAAACATTTCTCCATGTTCATCAGAAACAGCTGCTAGATTGAGGGAGTAAAAATCTATATGGAAATGCAGGAAATGCATTTTTAATGACATATCACAACATGAGAGAATCATGGAGATAGTGGTAACAGCTACCAAACCAGTGTTAGGTAGATATTACTAACATCTCCATGATTTTCTCATAGTTATTAGCTCATACATTTCCCAAAAAATTCTTGCTCATATTTTTGATTGTGTTCCAAGCAGTCCTTTCCACTGGATTAAGTTTTTACTTAAAATTAGAATCGTTGAAAAGTTATCTTACTTAGAGACCAACAAAAATTTCCTCTTTTACTTTCACATCAGATGAGAAAACTTTTGCTTCTGGTAAGCAAAGCTGCCTCCATCCATACCTTTAACAAAATTTTTTATCAAACTGAGCTTGATACAAAGAGGAAGTAAGAGTTAAAAAAGAACTGGGTAATAGAAGATTTTTGGACTTAAGATTCAAATTCAACACTCTAAAATATGTAAAAAAAATATCACAATTTCTTTCATGGGAAGATTTTGAATTAGAACAGTGTAATCAAAAACAAATATAGTAGATACCTATAACACGGTAGATACGTTCCGTTATATATGAATTTGTGTTTTACGATCACTTAAATACATGAGACAATCACAGCCCGGCACATGTGCAGTTTAGGGACTATGGCTGTTTGAAAGGTTTTCTTCCATAAAATTAATCAATTCTAGACTAATTTGACTCAACATTTCCAAAACACGTATAATTTTTTGGGAATAATCCATATAAACTATGCTATAAACAAAAACTTGTAGGATTACTTACCGATTGTGCACAGTTCAACGACGCCATTGCTTAAACTTGTTTTTGTCAAAAACAAACTTAAGCAACAGTGTCGTGTAACTTATCAGAAAACACACGCATCGAACAGCGGGCGCGTGTTTTCTGATGAGTTATTTTTCTGTGAAAAATTCACTGAACTTTGGAGACATCATTAATATAAATATAATTTTTATGGCTGTTAAATAATAAATGGTTTTTAGTAGGTCCACTGCTCATTTAAACTCAATGGTTTGTGCAATATCCGTTATTGATCTAGATTTGACCAACGCTGTCACGACACGAGTCGGCGATGACGTTTTACTGTATTATACAAGTCTCTTTTAGCGTGTTTATACGAATACGATCACAATTTTTTGCTGTGTTATACGAATCTGTAATATATGAACCCGTTTTATAGGGGGTCTACTATAATGCTGTATATAGAATATCATGCATATGTAAGAGTAGGAAAGTCTTATGTAGGTAAAACTGAAGGAAATTAGAAAACAGAATAAAAGTTCTATTAATATAATTATGTAAATTTAGCAATAGCCCAGCACTGTATTACAACAGGATACGAGATAAATATTAAAAATATAAAAATATTTCATATAAAAACAAAATATGTATGAAAGAAAATTAAAAGAACATGTTAAAATTATGAATACAAACCATAAGATTTGAATAATGGTATATAAATACATTAAATTTGTCAGGAAATACTTTGTAAATCCTGCAGAAATGTAGAAGTATATGGACTTTGCGTACAAAATAATTTCTTATTATAATATAAAACCAAGATAGAAGTAATAGAATTTAAAACTACAACAGCTGAATGTTTTTAATAACTTTATTGAATTTTTATATATTTTTTGTCAAATGTCATGTCAATTGTAATTTTAAAAATGAATTTTCCAGAGAGAATGAAGTCAATATATTTAGTTTTGTAAAATTATTATTGATGGAAATCAATCTAAATATATATAACTCAAAGGTGACTGACATAGTGATCTATCAACGCACAGCCAAACCACTGGACGGATCGGGCTGAAATTTGGCATGCAGGTAGATGTTATGACGTAGGCATCCGCTAAGAAAGGATTTTGATCAATTCTACCCCAAAGGGATAAAATAGGGGATGAAAATTTGTATGAAACTTTGTCAATTTTAAACCGATCGGGCTGAGACTTTGCATGCATAAAGCTACTATGACGTAGGCATCCCCTAAGAAAGGATTTTGATAAATTCCACCCCTAAGGGGATAAAATAGGGGATGAAAGTTTGTATAAATCTTCTTAGATTTTCGACTGATTGAACTGAAATTAAAGATTGGAGCTACTATGATGAAGACGTCCGCTTAAATAGGATTTTGATAAATTCAACCCCCATGGGG